TGATGATCAATAAAAAAATCTTTTTCACACTTAAGACCCCAAAGCACAATTTGTTCAAGTTGTGTATGTGTCCTTCAGTAATATTTTATAGAACTATAAACACACATTTATTTTAAAAGTTTTAAGCATCATTTCTTAAATATAGAGCCACTCGATCTTCCAGTCTAGCCTTGAAGGATGATTCAGAATGACCCTATTTACTTAAAAGTGTCATAGTAAAGGGCGCGGTCTTAAGAACTACTGGCAGTTTATCTATTTTCTTGTTGCTTTGTTCCGTTCCATTCTGTGAGGCTCTGGCTGAACAGCTCTGCAACCAGGCACATACAGGTTCAAATCCCAATGCTGCCACTTACTGTTCATTTGATGGTTATAGTCTTATGCCCTCTAAGCCTGTCATGTACTAAATGCTTATTTGTACAGGTTTTAATGGAATACCTATTATTACGGCATCTGCAAATACTGTTTTGGCAATGAAGTTCAGACTTTTGTGATTTTAGTCAAAAAATTTTGAGATTATTTCTGTCCAGGTTTTGATCTTCAATCTCCGTCCAGAAGTGTCTACGTATATGTGTGTGTCAGTGTAGTTATAATATGGTAGATACTTTTTCCAGTTAAAATGTAATAAAGCTAGGCTCTGATGGTACACAAATTTTTAATAGGCCAGGCACAGTGGCCAATGGTTTTAATCCCAGCACTCAGGAGTTAAAGGCAACAGATCTCGGTGAGTTCAAGGCCAACCTTGTCTATGTAGAAAGTTCAGGACAGCCAGGGCTACAAAGAAAGAGCCTGTTTAAAAAAATAAACTTTTTTTTGATACTATGACTACTTCCTTCTCCTCCCTCCCCTAACCTGGAATTTCCCATACATTCACATAATTGATTCTGAAACGAGTTTAAGCAGGAACAAGAAATTAACAAAGATGCACATAACATAATCATTATTTACCTTGACAAGGGAAACCTGAAGATTTACAGTCTTTCCATTCTTAAGGAGATTCTGCAGTTTCTTGCTATGTAGAATATTATCTACATAGACCCAGAGCCTTTCAACAATATCTTCTTGCAGTTCGAGTTTTTTCTTATAAAATGCAACCAATGACTGTCTTGCCCAATCAAGTAAAACCTGGATTTGTAGAAAACATACTATGAAAATGAACTTCTTACATGAGAGAAAGATTTTCAACATTATAGGAACATCCAGCAACAACCAAATTCTATTGCAAGAAAAACAACTTTCTGTTAAGACATGTCTGTAGTGTCAGCTACCACTGTGGCTCAAACAGGAGGAGCACTTCAGTCTACAAGTTCAGATGAGACTGGACAACATATCAAAATGCTATTTGAAGCAAACAGGCTGGATACAATTACACATACTGTCATATCAGTACTTGGGAAGCAGGGGCCAAAAGATCTCGATTCAATGGCAGCATGGGATGTATGGGGAAAGCATTTTTTTAAAGTCCTCCCTTGTGTTAATGTTACATAATATGTTTTGAAATCTTGAAATGTTTATTAAGGAATAAAAAAGGAAAAACAATGATATCTTCATCTGGAGTCAATAAGAAGTTTCAGTGAAATTAACATTATTCAGTGGCTTTTCTAAAAGAAACATGATGAATGTCCACATGACCACAGAAGGGACCACACATGCAAATCAAATGGCAGTGAGGGATATCTAAAGAAAAAAAAGAATGAGTCAGAACACCGGGACATGTGCACTGACTTTCCCAAGACACATGTAGTATGTATAACTTCTAAATCCACCTCATTCAGAATATGTAAGACAAACTGAAGCACAAGGGCTTCATGAGAAAGGCTTGAACACATGCAGTTTCCATTACTGCACTATTCCATTATTGTGTCTTCTCAAGCACAAAACACTGAAAAAAAGTGAGGCCTCAGTCCTCAAAGCTGTTTGTATGTGTTGGATGATGGTTATAATGGAGCCAGGAGCTTCAGGCATGCCTGCAAATACTGTGACACTGAGTTTCACTTATCTGCCCAAGCCCTCGGCTGTAGTCCCAGAACTGTGAGAATGTATGAAGAGTGGCTGACGCTAAAAGGATAATGGATAAAGACAGCTGGGGTCTTGATCAAGCCTGCCAGAATTGCCCTTTGTCTCAGGTGTGCAATGCTTATCAGGGAACTACCGAGCTGCCAATATGACTCAAATGTGTACACTGGTAGAAATTCCACTGTTCTACAAACTCCACCTCATCCCTACTCTAACAAGTATAATGCCATCTAATACATGTTGGGATGCCCCCTTTAAAGCAGCATCGGGATGCAGCCAAACTAATTCCATGACCTTGTCATTCTACTATAGTTGCATTATCTTCTTTTGAGCCATAGAAGCTTAAGAAATATTAACAGCCGCAGTTGGTGGTGCACGCCTTGATCCCAGCACTCAGGAAACAGGGACAGGGGATCTCCGTGAGTTCCAGGCCAGCCTGGTCTACAAAGATAGTCCAGGATAGCCAGGGCTACACAGAGACACCCAAAAACATCTTTATACTTGGTACCTATCTATTTTTCACTTCACCTCATACAAAGACTAACTTTCCCTACTTCCCAACCCTCAGCCAAGCAAACTGAAAGATCTCATTACTTTTTAACTGATATTTAACATCCAATGAAGTTTCCTTCCCAACTCACTTTCTAATCTTTTAAATGTCAACACCCAAGTTGAACATGTAATTATTTTATTTTAGATCATAAAAATGTAAGTTTTACATTGAACTCACTTGTTCTTTATTTGGCAGAAAGCACTGATGGGAAATCCAAGCAAAATGAGCTAGTTTTAGTTTATCTTCCCAACAAGTCCTCTTGCTTTTAAGTTTAAAGGAAATGCCAGAATAAATCGCAGCCATTGCTGCACGTCTTCTACAATTAAAAAGAAGGGGAAACAGTATTACAAGACCTAACCAAATAGGCATTAGGAAATGAACACTATCTTTGAAAAGAAAGAAAATATGTGTATATGCCTGAGTGTATGCATGCAGGAGCCTAAGAAGGCAAGAAGGCAACATCAGATCCTTTCCGACTAGAGTACAGATAGTTGTGAGCCAGCTGCCAGGTAAGTGCTGGGAATCAAACCCAGGTCCTCTGTAAGAGCAGCCAGTGTTCTTCACTGTTGAACCATCTCTCCAATCCCTCACTAATATATACACCTTATTGGGTACAACCGGGAAGGAGAGACAGGCAGGTCTCTGGAAGTTTGAGGCCAGCCAAGAACACATAGTGAGATGCTGTCTCAAATATATAGTTAATTTGAAACTGTATTTCAGCAAAAGCAGGCAGATGAGAGATTATAAATCCTGCTGTAATTAACGTCACACACTTATAGAACATGAGAATTCAAAAAGGCAAAAATCACAGTGTGTAAATTACTCACAGAATGACAGTCACCATCCATGATTTAAGACTGAGGATATTCAGCACATAGCTTCTAAAATGTGCTGTGTATCAGGATTAGCATTATTAAATAAGCAAATAAGCAAGCAATGCAGTACTTGAAGAAAGTAATGTTTCTTGAGGGGAAGAAGACATTAGGCGTTGTGGCTGAGGAAACAGCTCAGCAGTTAAGAGCGCATGTTACTCCTGAAGAGAACCCGAGTTCAGTTCCTGGCACCACATGGCAGCTCACAACTCAATTTCCAGGGGATGCTGCATCTTCTATCATCCCCGGGGCTCCTGCATGCATGTCAAACAAGAAAAGAAAAAAAGAAAAGGAAGGAAGGAAAAAGCCAGGCAATAGAAATGCCGTCATTTCTACTATAACAGTAACTTCTCACACACAAATACCACAAAACACAATGTTTAAAGAACCGAAAATACAATAAAAATCCTACATAACAAAGAGAAGGCATATACATTAACAACCTACAACTGCTGTGAAACCCAAGGCTTCTGAGTCTCTTTAAAAAAAACCATAACCCTTTCTTCATTAAGGTAAACAAATCAGCTCAGAAAAAAACACCATACTGCTGTCAGGGGAGGAGAAGGTGCGCTCCAGAGAGGTGCGGAGAGGTGCGTGCTGAGGGTTCCCTCGGATCCGGGCTCTGGCCAGCGCACGGAGCTCTCTCTAAAGCGGGTCTTCCTCAGAGCGGGGTGCTCTCAGGGGGAGGAGCGCCTCCAGGCCGGCGCTCTCCTCTCAAGCAGGGTTCCCTCAGGAAACGCGACCTCAGCCCGGGGCAGCCCCGCAGCTCCCGTCTCTCCAGAGGGCTCCCCTCCGGTCGGGCGGGGTCGGGATCCGCCGAACTCCAAACTCGCCGCGCCGGCGCCCACCCGGCAACTCCGCAGCGACCGGCTCCACGCGGGGGAGGCGCTTCCGGCAGACGTCGACGCCAACGGCTCGGGGCGGGGCGGGGCGGGGCGGGGCGTCGCGCAGGCAGCGCTAGCGGAGCGCCGAGCGCGCCCCGGCCGCGGCGTCGCGCGTCCGCGGCCTAGCCCGGCGCGCCCGCTCCGTCGTCATGGGGCGGCCACCGAGAACCGCGGGCGCGGCGAGACGTCCGGCGCGGGGACCCGGCTAGCCGGCCTCGGCGCGAGCTCCCTCCCACGGCAGGCAGCCGAGACGGAAGCGGCCGG